CAAATTCCCAAATTCTCAAATCCCAAACTCTCAAATTTCCAAATTCTTAAATAATAAATTCCAAAACCCTCAACCCAAAAATCCAAAACTTCTCAAACACCAAATCCCAAAACTCCCACCCCAAAAGCCTCAAAAATTCCCAAATAACAAATTCCCAAAACTCCCACCCCAAAAGCCTCCAAAATTCCCCAAATTACTAATTCCAAAGCTCAATCCAAAATTTCCCAAATTCCCAAATTCCAAATCCCCAAACTCCAAATACAACTCTTCCAACCCCCCCAAAAAAGAAATACCACCAAACTCATCATAAACCCTCCAACCCCCCAACCCCTAAAAAATAAAATCGCCCATAAAACGTTTTACAAGGCAAACTTTCAAAGTAAATAATAATTGTAAATGACATTGAAGACTAGCTAGTGAGTTTTACAGCGTAGTACGGATATGAACGGGTTCGAAAAGACAGCGGCGCATCGGTGAAGCCACTTCCTGGCCTGGACACTTTGTGCATGGATTATAACCAACGAGTAAAAGCAAACCGCGTTTTACTTGGCATCGTAGTTTAACAGGGTTAAGTCGCCGCGGTTCCTGGGCTTTTAACTCAAACAACACCATCCTGCATTATATATCAAAAGAACGAAACGCACTGGCGACTGACTGTTTTAATATGTACCGCTCGGAATTCGAGGGCTAGCAATGCTTTCGCGAAACGTAACATGGAGGCTGCACTCTCTCCGCTCCTCTATCTTCCTCTCCCTCTAATACATCTTTCTTTAATGTCGTCAGAAACCGCACTGCTACCATCCAGTTTGTTATATACGTTTTATCTTACGGTCTGATGCTTTGAATTACGCTGAATGCCCTCGTTCGGTTCTTTTGCAGTATTTAACGCGGCTTAGCTCGTTAAGGGACTAATTTTTACTTTGGTTATACGGGGTGGGGAAATTTTTGTTGGAGAGTTTTGGGGAGTTTTAGGGAATATTGGAAGGAGAAATGGGTTTGAAGATTAGGACGTGAGAAATACTAAACTGTAGATATTTCTAAGTTTTGGAATTTTTAAATAGGCAAATTATGTTCGGGCTTGGGAGTTTTTAAATTAGTAAATTTTTAGATTTTTAAATTGGTGGAGTATTCAATTAGCAGATCTTCAATTTCCTAAATTCTCAAGTTACTAAAGTCACAGAACTTCAATTTGCTAAATTCACTATATTATTCACTCAATTCATTAAATTCACTAAATTCACTAAATTCACTAAATTGACTAAATTCACTAAATTCACTAAATTCACTAAATTCACTAAATTTACTAAATTCATTAAATTCACTAAATTTACTAAATTCACTGTATTCACTAAAGACACTGAATTATTTCCTAAATTCTCAAATTTAAAAAATCCTGAAAATCTCTAAATTCTCAAATTTCTAAAGTTTCGAGTGATCAAATTTCTATTTCCCCTAATTACTAGTTTTACTAAGTTTACTATATTATTTCCTAAATTCCTAAATTCCAGAATTTCTAAATTCCTGAATTCCTAAATTCTTAAATTCCTAAATTCCTATATTTCTAAATTCCAAAATTCTCAAATCTCAAAACTTCTAAATCCTATAATTTTCAAATCCTCAAATTTCTAAATTTCTAAATTCTCAAATCCTCAAACTCCTTAATCCATAAATTCTCAAGTCCCTAAATTCCTAAATCCACAAATTCTCAAATCCCCATATTCCTAAATCTCTAAATTCTCAAATCCTCAAATTCCTAAATACTTAAATTCTCAAATACTGTGATACCCAAGTTCCGAAATTCTCTAATCCCCAAATTCCCAAATATTTAAATCCTAAAGTCTGGAAATCCCTAAATTCCCATATTTCTAAATTCCCATATCCCTAAATTCCCATATCTATAAATTCCCATATCTCTAAATTTCCATATCTCTAAATTCTCATATCTCTAAATTCCAAAATCCCTAAATTCCCAAATCCCATAATTCCCAAATCCCAAAATTTCCGAATCCCTAAATTCCCAAATCCCTAAATTCCCAAATCCCTAAATTCCCAAATCCCTAAATTCCCAAATCCCTAAATTCCCATATCCCTAAATTCCTAAATCCTATAACTCTCCAACTCCAAAATTACGAAATCTTTAACCCTCCAAATTCCAACCCCCCCTAATTCCAAATCCCCAAATCTCCCATAATTCCAAATCCCCAAATTCCCAAATCTCCCAAATCTCCAAATTCCTCAAATCCCAATCCCCCAACCTTCCTCCACCATTAAAATCCCATAATCCACCCAACGAAAATTGTTCTTTGTTACGGAATGTTTAAAGCTGCCGCGCTATTAACGGTATTCCGTGTATCAGAAGATGGCGGGATGCGAACAGGGTGTTCTTGGATGAAAGAGAAATAGGCAGGGAACGACGGTGGCAAAGTTGAGATGAGTTGGGGGTTGAGCGAGGGTGGTTGGGTGGCGCTGTACCGGAGGCTGCCATTATATCTGAGCCGCCATTTTAAATTGAATTTTCTCCACCCTAGATAGATCTGAAACGTCTCGGTCTTGCCGAGGTTCTTCCTACGACGACGAAGGGTAGGAAATAAGGAAAAGAGAAGGTACAACTACGGCCAACCCTCCTACGGCTTATGTCCCTACCTTTTTCTTATCCTTCCAACCC